AACTCTAAAAAGTGGAGCAACTGTCGTATATAAATACGCTTTCCGATGCAAAATAAATGTGATCTAAATTCTTTCCATTTCCGATCCGAGTTATTTCTTAGCATCCAAATCATGGTCTCAGGAGTTTTGATAAAAAGCAACTAAAATTAAGATGAAGGAAATACAATTCAACAACTTTAATAGTTTACGATGCTTCATCCAATAAAGAAAAATGAGCATAATATTATTACTACTAGTAATATTGGTTTAGGCAATATTATGGGTTTTAAAACGTACATTTTAAAAGTATATAGTCACATAAGATATACAAATATAAGGAAGAGCAATGGCAAGAAAGTATTACTCATCGTAAAATGGCGAATCAAGAAATATCACAAAGAAACGAATCGGTTGTCTCTTTTCATTCAATTGCGGACAAAATATATACATATTGTATGACGAATAAATAAAAAAAAAAGAAAAAGAAAAATACTACCAGAGAAGCAGCAATTACATTCAGACCCAGCAACCATTTCTTCTGCTTTTATTATCTGTGAATTGTCATGGCTTCCCAAGAAAGATAATGGAATAGATTCTTATTGGTTTCTGCACAATTTTCAATTCAGAATAGAGCTTCATTTAGACCGGCTGTCAAACAATGTGATTGAGCCCAGTATAACCTGCTGTTTAAGACCGAACATATATGTAATGGGAAATGAGACACGAATTCACAAGCAGGTTAACGTTTCAATTTGACCTAGGGTCGTCAATTCTAGTGAATGTCCTGGGTGTAATATATAGTATAACCGAGTGAGAAATCGAGTTCGAATTCTAATTGAATTCGATACATTCACTTACGCATCAATATCACTGGGAAAAGTATGTATCCATCTCCTCTCTCAGCTATGGTTTAAATAGTAGGGCTTGTATCTAGAAAAAAATACTGTTATTCTAAAAAACAAAAACTATTATTGCAATATTCGCTAGCAAAAAAATATTTTTTCTTACAATCGAGAATATGCTTCGGATTTAAGTAAGCTACAGAGGTTGATAAACCGTAAAAAACAAATCAAACAATTGTCGATTCTACATTTTGTGATGATAACCGCTAAGCGACTTGCACTTCAAGGGAAAACATAGTGAAACTTATAGAAGATTGTTGGCAAAGTATTTGAGGCTTTAATCAACTCTGAATTGATTAAGAATCTCACTTCACACGACCTTCATTCATATAAAAATATGACTTTGTTTTTCTAGGTCAACTGTCGATGTGTTAATTGTTATCTCTAAATTTCAGGCTTTAGATAAGAACGGCGAGGCTCGGGCTGTGGCTTTAGATATCTCGAAAGGTTTGATATGCCGCCCTAACTCACAAGCTGAAAGGGATACGGTGTCTCTGGCAGAATATTTGTTTTAATCCAGTCGTTCTTAACAAATCGGATAATGAAGACCGTGTTGAACTGACACGGATCTAGATTATTTCACATTAATGTGGGGGTGCCCCCAGGAGTATATCCTTGAACCTACGTCGTTTCTTATCTTCGACAATGGCCGTCCCGATGTCATCAGTTCCCAAGTAGCAATTTATGCTGATAACATGACTGTTTCTTTTCTTTTTATGTGCCATGTCGTTTCAGGACGTAGGCGATCATGGGTCCCCACCTCCCTTTATCCTTTGCAGCTCTCAGCAAATTCATTCCCTCTGCTTCCTCCCCCAGACCACGTTCTGTCGGCAGGTATGTCACGCGTTGTTTTCCCTTGTCTCTCTCACCCTCTATTTGACCCGTGAGTATCAGATTCTCCAAGCCTTCCTTCCTCATTATGTGTCCCATAAACTTCAGCTGCCTCTTCCTGATGTTAAGTATAATCCTCCTCCTTGTTTGCAACCTCTCTAAGACCTCATTTTTGCTCACACTCTCGGTTCATATCCTCAGCATCCTTCTTTAGAACCATATCTCCGTCGTCTCGAGTCTCTTCTTCATCTTTGAGGAAATCGTCCAACATTCACTGCCGTAAAGAAGGACAGATGTCACGTAAAAGCTCAGTATTTTCTTTGTAATCTTCCTATCTCGCAATCTCAGCTATCTACTCCTGTTTTAATAGTAAGTCCGATAGGTCCAACAAAGTAAAACTGGGAGCTGCTCTCGAAAATGACCACTAATCAGTTGTTAACTGGAGCAAGGAATGGCTTGTAAATTATAAAAGCCACCAAAGCGGAACTGCTATCCTTTAATCATCATAAACCATTTTTCATCTCCATCAGTATGACTAAAGCTAACGCCCGGTAGAGCAACAAATGGCGCCCTCTTGTTCCCACATTTTCTACTGATATGAAGTGGAGCGATTAAATTGATTCACTTGCTAGGTTCGTGGCTGTCGATTTCTTGTGCACATTTATAAATCTACCATTCGTTCGTGCATTGAATACTGCTGCCATATTTGGTCCGGTGCTCCTACTATATATCTTGATATCCTTGACAATATCCAAAGAATGGTCTGTAATGTTATCTCGGCTTCAGTCACTTTTCCAACCGATTTGACGTTGTTTCCCTTTCACTTTTTTATAAATATTTTCATGGCAGTTGTATTAATTAGCTCTCCTCTTTGGTAAGCTCGGCCTCATGAATTTAAGCACAGTACTAGCAACTGGGTTTCATCGTTTTCCTGTTAAAATAGATGTAACTGCAGATTCTATTCTAATAGTTTCTTTACTTGCACTTCACACCTGTCGAACTCTTTTCCAATTTCTGGCTTCCCTGTTACCTACAACCTTAAAAAATTTAAATGCAACGTCAATCACCATCTTTACTCTTCCTGAAACCTGTTCTTTTATTATCCTTTTCCTTATTAAAATCTTCATTTTCTTACACTCCCTATCTTCTATCTAAGTGGCATGATTACCTTGCTTGGGGTGAAAAAAGAAATGCAATCTTTTTCATATTAAATAGCATTCGTCTATGCGTATATATCGATTTCTGTCCTACTTAAAATTCTAAAACATCCAATCTTTAGACATAAATACCATAAATATACTTTTGCAGCATGTTCCAAGAAAGTTTTTAATAAACAATCTATTTCTGTACTCTTTATGTAAGCGAAATTACTTGTAAATAAAAGCATGTTATAATTAGCATTAAAAAATTTAACAAAAAAATGGAAAAAAAAAACGCCGATATTTTAGAATTTCCAAATTTGAGTCAATATCATTCAATTGTCTTTTAAATAAACGTTAGAAAAGTTAATGAATGAAAAATGAAAAAATGAATTGTAGAATATTCAATAATTTTTAGTTAATAAACGACTATTTTCAAAAAACATTTCAAGTAAATTATTTTTTTTATGTAAAAACGCAAATATAATAAAAGCTAAACTTTTAACAAAAACATTAAACCTGTTTCGATTTATTTACATACATATACCTTAAGCCATTCAATTATTTTTTAAAGAGTGGTAAAAAATTAAATTAAATTGAAAAGGTGACGAGAAAAAGAATACCCCGTCAATGATTTTATTTAATAAAAGGCTTATTTAAAAATTGCAAACATTTTCGTGAATGATAATAGTAGCTCTTCCCTTTCAAAATAAATTTACACTTTTCATCCATAATAACAATATTAAGCGACAAAAAATTTTTGGGAAAAAGGGGAATTATTGAATTAAAATGAGAAAATTGCTTTAAATTAAAAATGTCTTCACTTATATAAAGATTATATAAATAATTTTATCAAAACCGTTGTTGAATTTAAATAAAACTAGCGATTCTTTTCCTCATAAATTTATTCTTTTTCTCTATATCTCATTCTCTGATGAAGCTTTAATAAAAGTGAAACATGTTAGATTGATAAACTATTTGTTCTTTATCTTATCATTCTATCGGATTCCGATCGATATTTGATCGATATTTGATCCCAAGTCATCAAATTTATTTCAATAACGACAAAAATTAAATTGTAATGAAAATTGTTATAATAGATTTAATGACGTTGGGTTTAAATATTATTATTATTATTATTATTGTTATTGTTGTTGTTGTTGTTGTTGTTGCTGTTGATGATGATCATGAATTTTTATAAATAGGTTTGCCTATCGCCAGGTTTACACTCCTCCCCATTCTTTTGAACAGGAGTATATGTTTATCCCAGTGTCCTATTTAGGACTGGGAAACCGGTTCTTTCTAAAGTCTATTTCAAATCTGTACTTTTAACGTCTCCGCCTAAACTCTGAAATTTTATTTACTATTAATTTATTTTTCCTCAATAGAAGTAGACAGGTTCGCTCATCGTTCGGTTCACACTCCTTCCTAGTTTTTTGAACAAGAGTAGACATTTATCTTTTGTTTCCTGCTTAGGATTCGGTTTACATTTCCTTCTAGATTCTTGTTATTTTTTTCACTCACAGTAGCCCTTGACGTCTTAGCGGCATTGTCGCTTTGCTTGGGGTGAACTGATTCAAAAACCAGCAAATAAATAAATAAATAAATAAAATAAAAAATAAAAGATAAAAAATGTGTTTTTTGATATAATACGCGGTCAACGTCGGGTAGCCCAGCTAGTATAAAAATAAAATAGAAGCTTTATTCAGATTCGTTGGTTGGTTGGTTTTGTTTACCGATATATCAACTTCTATGGGTTGTTTAATGTCAAAATCTAAACATTTTGAACACAATTTTATGACTTCAGCTAAATATATTTTGAACGCAATTGTATACCTTCAACTACAGAATAAATGTATTGTTGGTAATTCTATAATAAAATGTATTGCTGGTCAGTTTGCTTTCAAAATGTATTGCTGGTCATTTTGCTATCAAAATGTATTGCTGGTCATTTTGCTATCAAAATGTATTGCTGGTCATTTTGCTTTCAAAATGTATTGTTGCTCATTTTACTATAAACACGTATTGTTGGTAATTTTTTTCTATAAAAATGTATTGCTGGTATTTTTACTATAAAATTGTATTTTTATATTTTCATAGTGTTTTGCTTTTGTTTCTGGGTCCCTAACAGATGCTACCAGATGGTAAGTTAAGAGGGGTATAAAACGGGAAAAAGATGGAAGAAGTGACCAAAGAAAGACAGAAAAGAGGAAACAATTTGTGAAGAGTGACAATAAAGTAGATATGAAAATGAGAAATCCTTTTTTGATGAATTAATTTTTCGGTTTTAATTTCTATAATGAATTTAGGAAAACAAATATAGAAAGAAAGAATCGTAGATAACAAGAAACCAATGCCCCAAAAAGTATAGAAAAGAATAAAAAAAATAATTTTTAAAAGTTTAAAAAGAGTAATGACTGTGATTTAAAAACAGAAAATAAATAATGGATGAAAAATGAAATATGAAAGAAAAGGAAGAAAAATTGAAACCGCAAGAAGGAAGAAAGAAAAGAAAGAAAGAAAGAGAAAGATAGATATAGATAGATAGATAGATAGATAGATAGAGAGAGAGAGAGAGAGAGAGAGAGAGAGAGAGAGAGAGAGAGAGAAAATGTCGATCGGAAGCGATAGAGAGGTAAAAAAGTAAAAGAAAAAGAAGAAATATATATACTTATGAAAGTGTTTTTTTATCGAAAGAGTGTGGGGCGAGTAAGAACACTCAAGGTGTCAAGAGTGAATCAACCTGTTGAGCAAATAAGCCTTCTCCGGTTGGCTTGAGGGGTCATCTTCAATTTTGGGGACGTAGGTTTTCTTTATTTTGCAGCAAGCGCCGGAATCGAAGGGGTAGAGGATCTCGGTCACGGGCCAGACGGCACCAGTGCCTCTGCTATCTATATCTATGATCGATCTAATTACGATGTGTGAATGAAAAAAGCACTTAGTTATGGGTGTGAGTGTTTTCTCTTTTTTTTTAAAATGAATATTAGCTTTTCTTTTCTTCTTTTCCAATGCCGAGATATTTATACGACATAAAAAAAAATGAAGAAGAAAGTAAATAAAGAAAGACGTCGTTTTGAACAAGAGAAAAGAGTGGAAAAAAAAAGGATGAAAAAGTAAGAAGCTAATAAAAGGGTAAGTTAAATAGAACGAAGAACTGGAAGGAAAAACAAGATTAAGTAGCGAGCAGGGTGTGAGGGAATGGAAAAGAAACGCAAGAGAGGGGAAACAGATGAGAGGAATAAGGAGAATATAGCTTCAGTGGAACGAAAGAGTGAGAAAAAGAAAAGAAAAGAGTAAAGCAAACAGAACAATGTAAAATTTAGAGAGTGGAAAGAATGTAAGAGGAAAAGGAAGTAGGAGGAGGGGGAAGTTGAAATAAAACAGACCCCCCCCCACCAAAAAAATATGGTGTGGGAGGAAGAAACAAAGGTTAAGAAAGAAGAAGAACGGAGGCAGATTAAATTTAAAAAAAAAAAAAAAAAAAAAACGAAGGCGGAGAAATGAGTGAAGAAGAAGAAGAAGAAGAAGAAGAAGAAGAAGAAGAAGAAGACATTAGCAACAAGAACAATAATAGTAGTAGTAGTAGTAATAATAATAAGAAAAAGGCAGTAACAACAACTGCAACAGGAGCAATAATAATATTAATAATAATAATAATAATAATGATAAGAAGACGCAGTAGAAGGAGGAGAGTAATAATAATAATGATAATAATAATAATAATAATAATAAGAAGACGACGAAGGATAATAATAATAATAATAATAATAATAATAATAATAATAGGAATAATAATATAATTATTATTATTGTTATTATTATTAAGAAGAAGCAGTAGAAACTGATAGAAACTGATGAGCTAATGCCGTGATGATGGTGTCCGTCTGCCATGCTCAATGACCAGCAGGAGTCTGGCGACTGTATTCAAGGCAAAGCCCTGAGAATACATTGTATATAATTATCACATCATATATATATATATATATATATATATATATATATATATATATAAAAAACCGGGATGAAAGATGAGAAGTAAGTATTGACCATCGTTGTCATTTTCGACCAACACTGTCTACTCAACAGCCAGCCATGTCAGAAAGACAATGACCAGCCAACGGGACGCTGTCTCCACAATATTTTTGTCAAAAGAAGACCCGTTCCTTAACTTACAACTTGACAAGTTGTTTCTTGAAAACCTAAGTGAAAAGTATGTGTCAGGTAAGTACATTCATTTTTGTCCCGAGCTAAGTTAGATGATTAGCTTTTGTTTGATGGCTACTGGGGCAGATAATCTGAACTTTTTTTTTCAACTCTGAATGAAAATTACTAATACATTGCTTCTCAGATCAGAGGTTCTACAGACTCCAGGTTCACGTATAACTTCCAGTTGCCATGTGTTATAATGTATTGCAATAAAACGATTGATCGGGGAAAATATAAAAGTTCATAAAATGATAATCAGTCGTATTCATGAAAGCATTAGCCATCCGAAGACAGCCGTACCTTAGATCGTTTCGTAACTAATAAGAGTGAATTACTTGTACTTTTAACTGACACTACAAACTCCCCAGAGACAAAAAATTCAATTGTTTTCCGTCTTCTGTTTCATTAAAAATTTCAATGAATATACATTTTAGATAATACATACATACATATATATATATATATATATATATATATATATATATATATATATATATATATATATATATATATATATATATATATATATATATGATATATATATATGTATGTTTATATATATATATATGTATATATATATATATGTATACATATATATACATACATATATATATATATATATATACATATATATATATATATATATATATATATATATATATATATATATATATATATATACATACATACATATATATACACACATATACATATATATACACACACACACACACACACACACACACACATATATATATATATATATATATAAGTTTTTATTTGCTGATACATTCTGATGAGTGGACTGAACAATTAAACAAAGGTTCGTCTACTATACTCTGGAATAGATGTACTGAATATACATCAATCAGCTCGGTGCCAAATTTCATATTTGTATTAAACCGATATATATATATATATATATATATATATATATATATATATATATATATAAATTTATTCATCTATTTCTGTATATATTTATATGTAAGGAGACTTGACGATTGCATTTAGCATGAAACAGACTGTCACCTCTGGGTATCGACTTCAATGTACACTTTTATATTTACATATGCTCTATCCCTGATATTGAACACTTTAACCCGAAAATATAGCATAGCTGAAATATATATATATATATATATATATATATATATATATATATATATATATATATATATATATGTATATATATATATACTATAAATGTTATTTTAGTGTGTATTTTTGTGCTGCTATTCCCAAAGATCGATAAGTTTTAGGAAAAATTCTTCCTTCAGGCAAGAACTTTGTTTTATCAAGATGATCTCCTGTCGCCAATTGGTAACGGTACACTTCGGGTATATGATGGAAACCTGAATTCAGTTTCTATTTCTGTCGGGAGGTACATTTTTCTTTAATAAGACTTCTCTATCTAAGCTGATTGTTATTCATTTCACTGTTTAAAAGACAAATCAGTCATAACAGTTCAAACACGTGTATCTACTAAATAAATGACGTTAATAGTAGTAAAAAAAATCTACTTAAATATATCTATTGAAGTTCCACAATATTAATTTACTTATTTATAGATGATGATAATAATAATAATAATGAATAATAAGCACAGTTATTGACAATATTTTGCAAACATTGACATACGTTAAATTACAAAACTACAAGTATCAACGTGTGTTATATATATATAGTCGTGTAATCAATGTAAGATATTATATATATATATATATATATATATATATATATAGATAGATAGGTAGATAGATAGATAGATAGATAGATGTATCCACTGTTTCGCAAAAAAATAGCATATCAGAATGTAAAAACGACCCAAATTTAAAATAATAAAGTTTTATCGCCCAAATCTTTATTAAAAGGAAAGGCCAAAGGTTTGTTTGATTATTAGATTATATATATATTTTTATCCTAATTAGAACATTTGCGAAGGTACCAAAGATTAATATAGGAAATTTTAGAGTCTTTTTCTGCAAAAATCAAAGAATTTTAATTAAAGTTTCATGACTTATTCACAAATGAGTTAAATTATTTTAGAAATGTTTTTTTAGAAGGTTTTAGTAATTTTTTACAACTCTTATTTAATTTTATGAAATTTAGAGAAATCCATTTTTTGTAGGAATTAATATTTTTCCACAAGTCCCTGGAGAACTGATGTCATCAATTTTTCTTTCTTTGGAAAACTGGACCACCAGTTAACGAAAATCTGCTCTGAATCGTTAAATAAAAAATGCAATAAAATGAAGATTTTATTTAATAAGGATAGCTTTTAATTGTTTTATTAATAAGATATTTTATAGGCACTACTGTCATAAAAAATTGTTTTGATGAATAATGAATTGATTTCTTTATTTCAAATTTTAATTATAATAATTAATAAAAAATTTAAATTTCTGTATTAATTTGCAGCGGTTAGGTGATATTATTATTAAGTAAAAACTATATTTACTAATCATAAATGGGAATGCTTGCTACAATTCAGTAACCCCCAGTATTTAAAAAAAATAATTTTGAATTTTTTTCTGTGTGTGTGTGTATAAAAGTGACAATGTTTAAGTGAATTATCGTCAAGATTTTTATTTTATTATTAAGAGGAAAGACCGGAGAATTATTTGATTATTAAATTATATTTGTTCATCCTTTTTACAGCTTTTGAAATCTTGGTTAAAAATTTTGTTTTTCTTGCGACAGCGGATGACCAAAGATTAGTATGGAAAATTTTAACATTTTTGTGGTGAATAACACATTGAGTTCTTGAAAATCAAGTAATTGTTGGATTGTAATGAAACTTTCAGAACTTATTCACAGACAAATGAAATTATTTTCGAAATGCTTTTTTTAGAAAATGTTGGCAAAAATAAAAATTTTATTTGATAAAATTTTGAGAAATTATATTTTGTAGAGCTTAATGATTATATTAGTTAAAAGCAGAAATCTTTGAAGAATTTAAATCATCGATTTTTTTTTGTTAAATAATGTTAAATATTATATTAAAGTACGTAATATTCGTTTCAAATCAGTTTAATTAAATTTTAAATCCGATAATATTCCTCAAATAAAATTTAAGAAAGGTATATATTATTTTCGAAAGATTTTTAAGAACGGGAGTCATAATTATAGTGTATGGGCGTCCATATTTACAAAGATCAGCACATTTATACACACACACACAGAATTTCCAAAATCGTTTTTCAATAGTAGGGTCGATAAATTGTACTAAGCTTTCCATTTATGATTAGTAAATACAGTTTATACTTATTAACAATGTCACTTAACCTCTGCAAAGTAAGACAGAATTTTAAAAGATTTAAAACTTTTCTGGAGTTGGTGTTCGTGTTTTACAATAATAAGAAAAAAAAAAAAAAAAAAGCAAAGAAAAATTGAGGATTTAAAATTTCTTGTGCTTATGGCGGATAAAAGATCTAAAAAAATACCAAAACTTTATAAACAAATATCGTTACATTTGTAAATATGCCCTAAATCTTTCATTAAAATCCGATTTTTGTAAGAATTTCCAAATCAATGTGTTTTTCACCGCAAAAAGACGCTAAATTTCCTATAGAATTTTACGGTCACCAGTTGACGCAAGAAAGAAAAATAACCCAAACTTTGAAAGTTTTAAAAAGGATTAAAATTATAATTTAGAAATTAAAAAATCCGTTGATCTTTCCGCATAATAATAACGTTATGATTTTTACAGCAAAACTTTCTAAGTTTGGGGCATTTTCTATATATATATATATATATATATATACAGGTTTATATATATATATATATATATATATATATATTTATATATAGGTTTATATATATAATATATATATATATATATATATATATATATATATATATATATATATATATATATATGCGGAAGGAGGTGATATGTACTTTTTTCATATACCAAAACAATATTAGGAAACCTGATGGATGAAACACGTCCCACACAAAATTTTTTCACTTCGTTATTAATTTTACTAATATATATATATATATATATATATATATATATATATATATATATATATATACAGGGTGTGATGCATACATTGTCGTCTAATTTACGCAAAAAATTAAAATAAGATATATATATTTACCAAAAAATACACAAATATCTTACAATACTAAAGAGTCAATTTATTCAATAAAATTGCAATTTAGTTCAGCCTCGGTCTCTAGACGACTTTAGAATCTCCTGTAACACTCTTTAAATAGTGAAAAAAGTAAAAATAAATTCTTCCTTCATAATGTATAAAAAAATATAGCCAAAAGTGTTCGAAATTACAGAACATTTGGACAGTTTCTACACACGCTCTGCACAGAAAGGAAAACACTTGTTCGAACACAAGAAAAATTAAATAAAAAGCTTAATCGTAGTATTTATCTGTCTTCTTTAATGAAACATATATAAAAGACGGATTGCTGTCTAAATACACTATATATATATATATAAATATATATATATATATATATATATGAAAATTTTTCAGAGTTAACCTGTAGAAAAGACAACATTTATAAATATAAATGACAATAGGAAAACTGTAGTTATTGCTAACACGTTTCGTCCAATGTGGACTTTCTCAAAGCAAAAAACGAAATAAATTTAATTTATGTTATTATTAGTTACTTTCTTTAAATAAATTCATTTCGTTTTTTGCCTTGAGAAAGTCCACATTTGACGAAACGCGTCAGCAATAACTACAGTTTTCCTACTGTCTGATATATATATATATATATATATATATATGTATACAAGTATAGGATTGGTGTATACGGAATAAATTCCAATAACCAACAAATACTATTCTTAAAATAGTGTTCAATACAGAGGAGAGCAAATATAATTATTTATTCGAAAATTATAACATAAATATGTTATAAAATCTTTACAAAAATAGTCATTTTGTCTCAACACATCTGGTGTCTTAGATAAAGGGTTTTTATTCTACATTTAACACTTGATAAAGACAAAATGTTTAAGCAAAATGGCTATATATATATATATATATATATATAACCAATTTTTACTCTATCATCGTTTCTTCATGCTATGTATCCCCCTCACTGCATCCATCCTGGTTTCTTTTCTAATTCTCGTTGAACACTTTCTTACGGTTAAATCACGCTGAAACACCGGTTCTCGTTCGATCACCGAAGTTAAGCATCGTAGAGCCAGGTCAGTACTTAGATGGGGGACCGCTTGGGAACACCTGGTACTGTAAACCCCCAAAGTCCAACCCTTACCTCACAGTCGGTTGTGTCAGAGCTATGCCGCCCGGAACTTCGTTCCAAGTAGGGCCACCCAAGGCGGACAGGTCTGACACACACGCCGGCTAACAAGGGCTCTGGTGAAAATCCAAGGAGCGTCTGCATCGGTAACCGGCGGCTTCTGGTCGTTCCTGTCTCTGCGTCTGTGGGAATCCCGCGGCAAGCAAGAACGTTATCCGAGTAGGCCTGGGTACCCTACTTCTGTAATTTATCCCAAGAATAACAGGAAGAAGCCGGCTCAATCCGCCCAGGGTGAATGCCGCATCAGTACAGTACAGTAGAGAACACTTTCTACTTTTAATGCCCACCATCCTGTTTGGGGGACAGTGGTCACTAATGAGTTATAGGTAGAAAGCTATAATTAATACCGGATTTTACAGTGGGTATTAATAGGATAACATTTTCCTTTTCAGTGATCTCTGTCTCAAGTGTAACTGGACTGGTGGCGCAAAAAAATTAATTTAAATACAAAAACAAAAAACAAAAACAAACAACATAGTTTCTCTTGCAAAGCTGAAAGAATTCTTCTTTGATGGCCTTCGGCTCTGTCGTTACGGTCATCTTGATGGCCCCCACGCCTTCAAAACGGGTCCCATTCATGATTTCTTTGAACTTGGGGTAAAGTAAAGTCACACGGAGGGAGGTTGTCCCAGTACGGTGATGTACTTCTTTGCCAGGAACTGCCGGATGGTGAGGGAGTTTTGAGCAGGTGCATCGTCGTAGTGAAGCAGCCACTATTTTTTCTGCCACAAGTCTCCTCTCTTCTCGCTCACTGAGCAAGGGAAAGTTCACAGGATCTCTTTATAGACTTACTTATTGATCGTCTGGCTCTGTCGCAAGAACTCACTGTGGACGATTCCTCTCACATTGAAGAACGTGATCAGTCCCGTTACTTTTCAGACAGACCTCGTATATGCGCTTTTAGATTTGTTTTCAAGTGATTTCCTTAATTTCTTCATTTTGTACACAGATTAGCGAGACTAATACATTCATTATACACTTTACATTTTTACTAAATTTGCAAAATGTTACTCAAAATGTCTATTTTATTAAATGCTTTACAACAAACTGCTATATGCCATTTTATTTAATTTTCATGCCAATACCTTATTGCTGTCACTTGCCCTAAGTAGAAGTATTCCTGGACTCGGGACCGGTGCATACTACCTCCAATACCCCGACCGATGTAGGGGAACAAACCTGATTAGGGGTGGGGAGCCCTGGACAGTGCTTTGTGGCCCTTGCTATCTTATCACCGTTTCCTTTTGTCTACCAACATTTATATCAGTCAGTTATGTGCCATGCGTGATATATTTCGGTACATGACTGACGAGGCAGATTTTTTCCTGAAGTAGGTTGCCATTTCTTTCTGCGGTAGACCAGTTGCCATCCAAGGCTATAGAACTCGGTATGTCCTGCTATTTACCCATAGCTGTGGAGAGAAGAAGAGGATTCATACCTTTCCCAAGGGTACTAGCACATAGGTGAATGAAATGGATTCGACTGTAATTCGAACTCGGGTCTCCGATTCCTCAGTCTGAGCCGCTATCCATTTATACGTTACACATAAAAATACACGCAACTGACTACTAAAAGATGTCAAAGTTTTGCTGATTTCGACGCCTCTCTCGAGTCTATTTTTTTTTTCATTCAAATCCGTGAATTTGTTTTGCCCGTGTTAAGACTCGAACAAACACTATATAAAATTCACTATTTTTTTTTATCTATAATGTTGAATGTGTTAAATATATTCAACTCTTTAACAAGTAAAATCTCAAGTTGATGTTAAAAATTTCAGCAAAAAATTGTTGGTTCATTTAAGATGGAATAAACTATTATGATATGTCTTTAATTTGTATTTAAATACATTGTATTAATTATAATTTTTTATATTTAAATTGTTCGCGTATATCATATGATTCATTATTGTACATAATTAGGTTGCAATAAAATCTGTATTTAATATGAATATTACCTTATGAAAATTGAGATGTAGTAAAGTGGTTGTCCCCGTATCATAGATTCGGTGGGGTGAGCAGGAGAGGCTTGCATGGCCCTGCCTGAACTACTTCTATTATTCTTATGAATTTCTTTTACTGAATGTTAAAATTGAACATTACTTATTATTGTGACAGATTATTCACTTACCCATTGTTAAGAGGAGTCACATAGTCGGTTTAGTAAGCTATGCCGCTATGGGTACATATTGATTAAGGACAAAGACTGCCCAGTATCAACAATCACTGTCAAGTTGGCGCTGGTATCCACCAACCTTCTATATTTAATGGAGGGAGGTATTGCTTCAGAATTGGAATCCTCGAAACAACGAAACGGGACTCTGTTAACTAGTAAAACTAAGTTAATTAGTAATTAACTATAAACTAAGTCCCTGAAATTTGATGCATATCTTACTAGGTTTAAAATCATTCTTCCCCTAAGTGCCATGTCCATCCAGGACGTTGGCGATCATGGCTCTCCACAATTTCTTGCTCTCTGTAGCTCTGAGTAAATATTGTCTTTTTTGTTATTTCTCCTAAAACCTTTCAAGTAAATCAGGTAACATCATTTCCCGTTTTTTCTTCTTCTTTGAATCATTAGCTTCTGAATCATTAAGGCTTAAGGCCGTATCACGTTGAAACACCTGTTCTCGTACGATCACTGAAGTTAAGCAATATCGAGCCTGGTTAGTACCTAGAGTGGTGACAGCTTGGGAATATCAGGTGCTGTAAGCTTGGATGAGCGATTGGTATAACGGGTAATGGTACGGTTGAAAATCGGAACGCCGAGGTTCAATTCCAGTTAGGTTCATTATATTTGCTTACACGCAAATACCTTTTGTTAAAGGCATGAATTCATATCTTCTCTACCCAGGTATAGATTAATTATTATAATTAGTATTAGTAAATCATTTTCCTCCAAAATTCTTACACTTTAAAAGTATTTTCTGGCTTTAAGTAACATGCAAATGGCCGATAAAACGTAAAATCTAATTTTTATAAACGGAATCATTCTATTTGTTTCATTCCAGAAAATAAGTACCAGCAATAAATAAAGATATTAAAATTAAAAATTTTAAAAATTTGTATTTTTTAAATGAAAACAAAATGCCAGTATGATAACAAACTTGAAAAATATTCGTTTTACGAGAGGATCAGTTAAAATATACGGAATCATTTATTTTTAAATTATCACTTTGGGAAGGATCTTAGAATAATCCAGAACATTTACTTTGAACAAACCGCCTGCATGCGGATAGAAAATGAATTAAGTAAGTACCCAAAATTAGATTGGTTTGGTTTGTTTTACGGGATATCAACCTCAATGGGTTATTTAATGGTTTGGTTTGATTTGTTTTACGGCATATCAACCTCAATGGGTTATTTAATCGTTTGGCTTGGTTTGTTTTACGGTATATCAACCTCAATGGGTTATTTAATGCCGATTTTTGCTGCTGGTGATATTTCTTTCCTCAAAAATGCATCGTTGATATATTTTTTTTTAAAAATATATAGCTGGTAATTTTTTTTAATGTATTGCAATTAATAATTTATTGCCGGTAATAATTTTTTCTTAAAAAGTTTATTCCTGGTAATAATTTTTTACAAAAAAGTATTTCTGATATTAAAACCTATTTTTACATTTTCATAGTGTTTTGACCCCAGTTTGGAGGGTTAACTATTTGCCCATAGCTGGGACCCTAACAGGTGCTACCACCCCGGGACAGAGCGGACATGGGAACACCAGCAATTAAGAGGTGGTTCCACGTTCCTCAAAACCTTCTGATGAGAGAGGCCTTGCTGTTGGACGTAGTTTATCGTCTTACCTAGGACGCGGATGCAGTTTATCGTTATAACTAGGACGGCTAAAAGGGGTGTAAGACAAGCAGAAGGTCTTTTCAAAGGATTTATTCTAACTTCGCAGCTCGGCTATCCTACGGGAAGTAGAGATCCTAATAGAATATTTTTTATCGGTGGATGAAATTTCAACGATTTTAGATACGCAGATGATACTTAATAGCAGATTCAGAAGGAAAACTACAGCATCCCTTAGAAAAGGTAGTAAATGAAGGTGCGAAGAAAGGACTGTCAACTGTAAGAAGACAATATATGATTTTCAGCAAGAGGAGAAGCCTTAGATATGAACTAAGAATTGGAAATGTCGACATCGAGCAAGTACAGAAGTTTAAATATCTGGAAAATATTTTAATAGAAGATGAAAAATGCGACACCAAAATGCGAAAGTTCATTGGACTAGCAAATATGTTTTCCAAAATCTAAGCAAAGTACTCAGAAACAGGACAATTTCGTTAGGCACAAAGAAAAGAGCGTGTAAGTGTTATGTAATACCAACTGTCCTATACTGGACATTCTACTCAGAGATGAAAACAAAACGGGAAACAACTGAAATATGGTTCTACAGAAGGATGCTGAGAATACCATGAACGAATCTTAAGGCAAAATTGAATAAATGGACACTTAATCAGAAGTTGAAAGAGTCAGGTGAAATTTCTTGGATATATAATGAGGAAAGAGGGTTTGGAATATTTGGTACTCATAGGACATATCAAATGTAAAACGCACAGGTGTAGGCTGCAGGCAATGAGGCAGATGAGCTCGTGTAATTGTATGGCGGAACGAGGGTTTGTAAGGAAGGGTAAAAAAGACTTTAAGAGTTACAGGTAGTACAAAGTTGTGTAGAACGGTCATCGTCCACCTTCTGAAGTGACATGGCGCATAACAGAAGAATACATAACAGAAAAATTACTCATAAAATAAAAGCGTATGTAGACAAAATTTCATTTTCATCTCCGAAAAGAAAGAAGACGGATATAAAAATACACAAATTACTCATAAACATACACACACACACACATATATATAAATATAATCCAATATATATATATATTATATATATATATATATATATATATATATAAGCAATATATATATATATATATATATATATATATATATATAGATAGATAGATAGATAGATAGATAATAATGTTATGAGGGAATTTTAGTGTTTAAGCCTTTTTTTATATATATATATATATATATATATATATATATATATATATATATATATATATATATATGTATGTATGTATGTATAATCCAACTAAATATGTTAGCTCTATCACTGATGTTGAGCGCTTTCCAATAAGTACCGCGTATATATGATATATAAATAATATATATAATAAATTGCATATATATATATATATATATATATATATATATATAGATGTGTGTGTGTGTGTGTGTGTGTGTGTGTGTGTCTGTGTGTATGTATGTGTATACCTGTGTTTAGAACATTCGGTGTCTAACCATGAGTGCCAGGTCTGCAATGGACATTAGCTAGCCGCCCTTGTAGACTGGAATCCTCGGATACGATTAGCTGCGCCATATATATATATATATATATATATATATATATATATATATATTTACATGTGTATATATATATATATATATATATATATATATATATATATATATGTATATATATATATATATATTTACATGTATATATATATATATATATATATATATTTATATATATATATATATATATATATATATTTCCATGTATATATATATATATATATATTTACATGTATATATATATATATATATATATATATATTTATATATATATATATATATATATTTACATGTATATATATATATATTTACATATATATATATATATATATATATATATATATATATATATAGTGATTTTCTAAGCCTGGTTTAGATGTGGCACAAGGCCGAAAGTATGGGGCATCCAGTCATAATTGATCTAGCAAGACAATCTTTCTAACCATTACATCACGTCGAGGTGCCCAAATATATATATATATATATATATATGTTTATGCATATGAAAAAAGATTCTGTTTCGCACCGTCCCCACCCCCACCTCCCACAAAAAAAAAAAGATCACCCAGGCTAATGTCAGAAGAAAACGGTTTTAAGGAAAATAATCTTTGTAAATATAGCGGTCGAAGACTGAGAGAATTTAACACGCACAGGGAATATCAAAGGCAAAACGCACAGCGGGAAAGGCGACGAGACATTTATGTAACTAGCTTTCGTGAAAAGGAGGAGGAACTAGAGTCCGGGAGGTTTAGTAAAATGACAAATTTGTTAAGCGCTGAAAGGCATAGGAAGACATGAAGAGCCATGATCGCCAATGCCCTGAAGGACTACGGCACATAGAAGAAGAATAAGCTTTAAAACTTCATATTTATCTGGTTTGGCACCCATCACTACATTTAACTTCTGATTTCGACTGCCTACGTTTTAGTATTTGACGTCATGCTTGTCATCTGCAACGCGCTCCCAAATGTAGGCGCTTAATACGAATCCAAGTAAAAAAGTCACAGGTTAAAAAGTCACAGGAAAAAAGAAACAAGACAATGTTAGCACTGTTTATGTGTCTTACTTTAATATATATTTTTAACCCTAACCTTACCCTAACTCTAGTATCCCTAACCTTAATCCGTAACCCTAATCCTAATCCTGAAGTTAGTGTGAATAGTGAAAATCTGGGATCTCAGTACTGTTGCGGATCAACAATACTTGGGAATTATTGACAATAATAAGCGTGGTTAAAAAATCTGCGGGAATAAGTTCATGTATACAAAACATGTTACTCGCAAAAACAAGTTGTAACATTTTTCCTGTGACTTTTTCTTAGCCAACATTGTGACTTCTTCCTGTGGCTCTTTTCCTTGCCAAAATTGTGATATTCTCTGTGATTTTTTCCTTTGACTGACCACGGTTAGTACAAAGGTTGTCTTAATAATGGGGATGGGGTCCAAATTTTTATCCTATGCAATAAATGGTAGAGGTCTTGATAATAGTAATTTCGGAAAATCATTTAAAGGGTCAAAACAGGATGGTCATAATAAGTTCGGGATGAGGTCTGAAAAATTTCCCGAATAAAAAAAAAAAAAGACATAAATAAAGTAGACATCCCGCTTCGTCAATTAGGTGCCTCGGAGTAATGGCCTACGAGTTTATTTTGCTAAGCACTGTTCGACGGTGAGGCGTATCCGCAACACCTCAAATAATTACAAGTTTATTCCACACTGATCACTTAACTTTGCCGGCCTCTTTCAAAATATTTACTACCTTTAAAGCTCTAGATCCACCTCAGATAGCCGGCTTGTTTAAATATCTACGACTTGACCCATGAATTTTTGCTTTATTTTGCCATAAGTCTTTTGTCTGTGTGCACACCTTGATGGTCGGTCGAAAAACTCACTACTTAAATCACAGCCTACTTGTCACTCTAGTATCTTTTCAAATCTATCACGTGTTCACTGGGGTCGATAATCGATTTTATTGCACTGATTGTAGGGTCGTCACATAGACCATTGTTAAGAGAAGAGTTGTTGTCAAATAAACTATGTTTACTGTACATTGTTGTTGTTTTTATCGCAATATAATTGACGGGTATTCTGTGTTAGCGCCCGAAGGGGAAATACAGAAAAAAAAAGGTGGGTGATGAAGGGTCAATATAATTATGGCTATGGGAAATGAGAAGAAAGGTAACACGATAGAAGGAAGAGGTTAAGCAAATTTAAAGGGAAAGAAGAGTGAGAGAAGGAAAAGGGGCTTAAATGAAATCGAGAAGAAAATAGAAGGGAAACAGTGACAAGAAGAGAAGGGAGAAAAAAATAAACGCTATTAAAGAAGATATTGAAGGAAAGGAAGGTAAGATGGAAGGTTAGAGAGAAAAATGGAGCGGGCTGGAAGAAAGAAAGAAAGAAAGAAAGAAAGAAAGAAAGAAAGAAAGAAAGAAATGGAAAAGAAAGAAAGAAAGAGAAAAAGAAAGTGAGGTAGAGAAAAATAATGAGCTGTAAGCAAAAACAAATAATGTTGGTGATAAAAAGAAGAAAATGTTTAAAGGAATAATGGTGATTTTCTAAGCGTAGCTGAGGTGTGGCACAAGGCCGAAAATATGAGGCCACCAGCAAGGAGCGAACTCGTAATTGATCTAGCTAGGCAAGCTTGCTAATCATTACCCGACTTCGAAGTGGCCAATGATTTTGTAAGCAAAGTCCGAAAGTATGGAGCACACAGTGAGTATCAAACTCACTATTTAGATGTAAAGGAATAATGTTTCAGAATAAAATTTATCTAATGGCTATGTGCCATGCTACAAACCTTTTGAGCCACTCTGGGAGGGATACCTACAGATTGAGACGAAAAGAAAGAAAGAAAGAAAGAAAAAAGAAAGAAAGAAAGAGGAGTGTATATCGGAAAGAAAGAAAATGAGAGAAAAAGTAAAACTGAAATATAGAGAAATAATCTAAATGAAACGAAACAACGAAAGAAAGAAGGGGAAATTTCCGCCCCCCCCAATCAAAAAAAAAAAAAAGAAGGAAATAAGCCATGTAGATAAAAAAAGAATTAAAGAAAAAGTAGTTAAATTCAAAACATAAAAAAATGAAATAAATAAATAAAAGGGAGAAAAACAATAACATAAACAGAGAGAGGCAAGTAAAAAGACAGAAAGAAAGAGAGAGTGAGAGACAGAGAGAGGAGGGGGAAGATGCTGTTAAAATTTAAGTTAAATTGTGGAAAAGAAAGATGAACAAATTAACATTAACAAGGGAACAGAAAAGAAAAGAAAAAAAGCCTATAGGATTACAAACGCACATCTCATTGACAAACGAGTGAGATGATAGAGAGAAGAAGAAAGAGAAAGAGAGAGAGAGAGAGAGAGTGAAAGAGAGAGATAGTAAGAAACAGAGCACACTAAATCTCTTTGCTATTCTTCATCATCTTTCCGTTTATTTTAGCATCTTTTTCCTCATCCACTACAACAATCCGAATCTTCGTTTGTCGCTGTGTGTTCGTCTGTCTGTCATTTCTCTCTTTGTTGTTGTTCTAAGACGAAGAATAGAGTCCCCGCTGCTGACTTTCAAAAGGATTGGCTTAACTATGTCCGTCCAAAAGGCTTATTTCCGTCGTTCCAACAGATCTAATTGGTTCTTTATCAATTTCACAATCGCGCATTTTCGTGTGGATTACAGAAAAGAGACAAATTCCGGGCCCTGGCACTGGGTCCTGTCATTAGTTGAGGCAGGTATTATTTCTTAATAGTCATTTGATATTAGCAAGAGGAAAAAAAAAAAAGCCTAAAAATGAAAGAAAGGGAAAAAAAGAGGAAAATTGATAGATACATTCATTTATGAATTTTCGGCAAGGGAATTAAATATATAAGGATGAAAGAGATAGATAGATAGATAGATAGATAGATAGATAGATAGATAGATAGATAAAGAGAGTGAGAAAGAGAGAGAGAGGGGGAGAGAGAAAAAGAGAGAGATGGAAAAACATACATATATATATATATATATACAGAAAAATAGATACAGAAATAGATGAAAAAATTGATATATATATATATAAAATTTTTTTAGGATGTTAAAACAAAAACATGTTAAAAATCGCTACACAATTACAATTATGTTTCAACACTACACATGTGTTTCCTCGGGGGATATTAAACTAGTGGCGAGCGAACGTGAGCCCTCTTTTAAATTAAATGTTACTTACAGTGGAGTTATACTCCATTTCCATTTTTCGTATATATATATATATATATATATATATATATATATATATATATATAGTTCGTTGAAAAGTTTCGTTGAATATGAGAGACAAGGAAAATTTGATGAATTCGTTATTGAGCTTTTCTAGTATTGTTAATTTTTCCGTTTGCTGGGCCAATTATCCGTCCTGTTGTTTATATATTTATATTTACACATGCAATTATATATATATATATATATATATATATATATATATATATATATATATATATATATATATATATATATATATATATATATATATATATATATATATATATATATATATATATATATATATATATATATATATATATATATATATATATGTATATATATATATATATATATATATATATATATATATATATATATATATATATATATATATATATACATATGCATGTATATATATATATAAATATATATATATACATATATATGTGCATGTATATATATATATAATATATATGCATGTATATATATATAATATATATATTATATATATATATGTATGTATTAGTAAATATACATATCACACATTGATATCACAACTCGGAGTTTCATGCGGATACGTAATCATCAGGTATTCAGTATTCATTCATACTAAATAGGTGAGTATTCTGCACTTGAAGATTTCGTATCAACATGAAAGTCAGATTCGGGATATCGACGTGAGATATATCTTTTCTGTAATATATACTTAATAGCTCTGTTATATAAATTCGAGCACTGTTTTATAACACCAGAGCGTAAATATATATGTACGCGCAAGTATATGTGCGTATACATATGTTTTATCATACCCATATCTATCTATCTATCTATCTATCTATCTATATATATATATATATATATATATATATATATATATATATATATATATATATATTCATACATGTAAGGAACCACCACAGATTCGCTAAAACAAATAGCATCGCATAGTAAAAAAATGTCCCAAACTTAGTAAAGTCTTCTCGTTAAAATCTTCTGTTATTAAGAGATAAGCCCAAAGGGTTTTTGATTATTAAATTAAATTTTTGATTCTTTTTAACAGGTTTGCAATTTTGGTTAAAATATATTTTTTCCCCCGCTTTCTGTCAGTGCTCGTGCTAAATATTACTGTAGCGTTTTTATGTGAAAAACAGGATTATTTGTAATTTTTCCAATATTCATGGTCGAATTTTAATGAAAGTTTCAGGAATTATTCACAAAGGAAATTATTTTAGAAATGTTTTTAGAAAATCTTGGTAAAAATATATTTTTCATCTGTTTACCACCCCAACTTATTTAATTTTATGAAATTTCGGGAAATTTAATTTTGTTGCTCTTAAACTTCTCTTGAATTTAAATCCCCAATTTCTTTTTGTAAAACAGGACCCTCAGTAACAGAAAATCTGCTCGGAATTATAAAATAAAAATGTCATAAAACTAAGTTTTATATGCATATGCTTATATGAATAAAATATATTATGGAGACTATTGTCATAAGAAAAACATTTTTCGATGAATAATGAATTTTTACAAGAACTGATTACATTTTTTTAAAATGTTAATTATAATAATTGATAAAGTTTTAAATATTTCAAAATTCTGTCTTACTTTGTAGCGGTTAGGTAATATTGGTATAAAGTAAAAACTACATTTAATAATCATAAATGGCAAAATTTGCTATAATTTCTCGGCCATCAATATTTTAAAAATATTTTGAAATTTTTTGTGTGCGTAAACAAGACAATTATACACCATATTATAGTTATAATTAAAGTAAATTTAAAAGTAAAGTATTTAAAATACAATAAGACATTAGATTGCGGAGAACATATTTCAAAATCTTTAAGATTACTGGGTAATTAAAAATTGTATAAAAATGGCGCTCACGTTTTATTCTTAAATTTTACCGATATGTCCACCGTGATGAAAAGATTAAACTTCCATCTGTTATTTCTAACTGTCAGTCCGGCAACAGCTAAAATAAACAGCTACCAACATGTTAAAAAATGCATCTCTGAGATATTTTAAAATTAAACTGATTAATATTTCTTTCAAATCAGATTAATGAATCTTTAAATGAGATAATATTCGTCAAATAAGGTTTCAGAAAAGTATATTTTATTTTTTAAACTTTTTTTAATAAAGAGAATTAGATTGTGTTGAAAGATGGCTAAAACTGGCGATAAAATCAGCGATGATTATCAATTTCACAACGAAAACTCCTTCCAATATATTTAAATTAGTTTTGAAATACAGCAAAATATTTTGCTCATTGGAAATAGAAAATTTAATCAATTAGCTTGAAATTAAACGTTAAAATAAAAGCTTCAAGAAAGATTTTCTATTTAAAAAATGTATTTTAAGAATTAGATATCATGAATCTGTGGAGGTACCTAATTTATATTTACATACGCTCTATACCTTTACCCATAAATATAGCACACATTAAAAGTAAAATATATATATATATATATATATATATATATATATATATATATATATATATATTTATTTTCCATATTGTTGCTACACGGGTTTCCGGTCTCGTGACCTTCATCAGGCAAAGTGTGGTTGTTTCCAAATATTATTAGAAGGAATTCATTTTCCTTATGTTTTCCGATGTTTAACCATTGTCTTTTGCATATATATATATATATATATATATATATATATATATATATATATATAGAGATAGATAGATAGATAGATAGATAAAGGGAGGATTTACTGTTTGTGGAAAACAGGAAGAGGTTTAACTAGCTAGCTACCTAGTTAGCTAGCTAGTTAGATAACAACCGAATTAGCATAAACCCGTCACCACTCCGTTTTTAATTGTTGCGTGGAGAAAAGTGAGAAGTTACCGTAAATTATAAATGTGAAGAAAGATATCAATAGAATTAGAGATAGATAGATAGATATGAACAGAATGCATAGATAGATAGATATGAACAGAATGCACAGACAGACAGATAGATAGATAGATAGATAGATAGATAGATAGATAGATAGATAGATAGATATGAATAGAATGTAAGATAGATGGTTATTTTTAGTAGAAACCCATATTTGAGTAGACCCACCGTTCAAATATAAATATCCACTAAAAATAAAATTGAAGTAAGAAAATCTGTCGTGTTAATAAATAAAATCCTTCATTTCCTTATATATATATATATATATATATATATATATATATATATAACTATTTATTTAGAAAATTATAACATAAATATATTATAAAATCACTACAAAAATAGCCATTTTGTTTCAACACCTACAGTGTCTTATCAAGTGATGATGTTGAATGTCTATATATATATATATATATATATACGAATATCATGGTAGTTTTCAAAATGATGAGATAGATATAGACTAGATATGTATGAATAGACTGAGATGGAGGTATTTGAAAAACACACACACACACACACACACACACACACACATATATATATATATATATATATCTTATGCTCGTTTGAAAATTCCATCTTGTGCGATTGTAGCTTAACCTGTCACTTATCAACAGTTTATGCAAGTCAAACAACCAAAATATCATCATTAGTATAAAAATATTAGTAGATAATACCAAAATACTGTACCGCACTCACTGTAAGGAAAGACCTCGAAAACTCGTACATATTATAATACAAAAGAAATATCTTCTATTAAATAAAATATATTTCGCCACAGTATACGGCATTTTAAAATGCTTCATGGTTATCTCCTGCTTATAGATAAATAAGAGAGGGAATATTGAATGCAGGAAAAGCAGAGAGAAACGATTAACGAGCTTGTGTAGTTTGATGACAGAACAGAAACTGGAAGGTTTAGTAAAGCACTGCTAAGATCTATAAAGGAGAGGAAGTTGTGGAGAGTCATGGTCTCTTACGTCCTGTAGTTATACGGCAGATAAAAAAAAGTTATTGCGGTTTCATCAATTCTTAGTTGTACTAATTCCATCTGGATAGATACACAATATACCGTATTTGACGGCATATAAGACGCACGGTTGTATAAGACGCACCCCAATTTCAGCAGTGAAAATCAAGAAAAAATGAGTAATTAGTAAAATTAGTAAAATTATTAGTAAATGGTACAGCCTAGGCTATATTTATGAGTTATTATTTTGGTTAAACAAGCCATGATTACAATTAAACGAAAAATAATAGGAAAAAGAACACAAGCCTATAAAAACTTTATTATATCCAAAGGTAAGAAAACAAAATAAAAATCAAGCAATTATTAAAATTGAGCAAAACAGTAGTTACCATTAAAATTTTATTCATCTTCAAAATCCATAAAATTCGTCGTCTTTGTTATCAAAACTCTGATACTCATTTTCAATACTACTATAATCGTCGTTAAATAATGCGTCAACTTCCGTTCCATTTTTAAAATATTTCACAACAAATTCTAATCTAATATTATCCCAGGCTTGCTTAACCCATTCGCAGACTTGTGCAATGCTGGGTCTTTTTATTCTTCCTGTAAGTGTAAGGTCGTGATCAGGCATTGCCATCCACGTGTTTCATTGCTCCTTCATGTCTAAGCTAATAGTTGCCAGTTAGCTAATTTCGGCCGAATATCGGGAATTTTAAACCTACATATGGCATATAAGACGCAGGGGAATTTAAAAAGATATTTTTAGTAAAAAAAAAAAAAATGCACCTTATATGCCGTCAAATACGGTACATCTTATCATCACAATCAACACATTGGAAAATGTAAAACATTGAATTTCCTAATCTCAATAAAGATATTACAAACGAAATGAAATTTTCAATAAGAAGTGAATTTCATGAAATTTTTGACCATTAATTTTTTTCCGTCAAGCATAGAAAATTTATATATAAAAAAAGTTTATATAATTTATCTTCTTTCAGAATTATTAATATATATGAGTAACGAGTCTGACCACAATTTTGATTTAAAATATGCTACTCTAATTAAAAGACGAAAATGTTTAGAAATTGATTTAATCAATAGATCAACCGCAATAAATTTGCGTCCAGGATTTTTACAACGTATCACTATTGCTTTGAAGATCTTTTGTTATCACAGTGTGGGATATTTCATAACGAAAGTAATGGAAACATAAATAAAAAGAAAAAAGAATCTAATTGAAATTGGCTAGATTATATACCAAAAACACAAAAAATAAAAAAAAAATAAATGAAAATATTTTTAAATTTAAAATCATCAGCGTCTCTCATTCATGCACATGTATAGACCCATCAACATCAACTTATTTGTCCGATGCAAGTTCTAAATAAGAAAAAGCGTTACACGAAAACTTTTTGCACTTTGTCATATTTCTTCTCCCAATATATCATTAAATAATTTTTTTAAAAATCTTATTATCATAAGATTTATTTTACAACAAATCAAACAAATATTTCATAATATGAATCAATAGGCTTCTTTCAATTTCACTCTTATTATCATTTGCTTTTGCAATAATATTCACTCTGTACATGTGCCATTCGAGGTAGACGGTTACAGAGTAAGAGGTGAGGGGGCACAGTCCAAGGGGGCACGTGGGGAAGACAATAGCCAACCCCAAACCTGAACTGGTCAAGATTGCAGCGATAGGAAAGCATCCTCCTACAAGTCGGTTCCAAAAAGCAGCGGTTCGTGGAAAGAAACCGTTTGAGTAGAACTTGTATCTCACCAGTTCCTCACGAGAAGCAGAATAAATAAACTAATATAACCAATATTTTCTTAAATCATCAATATCTTCGCATCATTAAGAATAGGGCCAGCTCAAGGTACTGGCAACTCGGGCAGTCCCCCGGGACGCCATCATGCCGCCATGTTATGTGTATGGGATTTTCCAAAATTAAAGCTTTTAAAAAAATACTTGCGATCGTCCAGAACTCAAGACAGATTAAATTCTTTGGCTATTTTGTCAATAGAAAATGATCTTGTAAAGCAGATAGGTGTAGAAAGGGCCATGAAAAGATTTGCAGATCTAAAGACTAGAAAAAATGTTTTAGATAGGATAATGAATATTTTCTATAGCTTATATTAAGTTGTATATTGTGATAAACTCTTTAATCTACATTTTCGGCTTTTCTTGTGAAAATGTGAAAAACAATACATGTAATGGCACCGAAGTTCAGCTTACCCGGGTTGCTAGCAACAGATTAAGAAACAAAGGTCGCTATTGGTTAATATAAATTTGCATCGAATTTTGAGTATCATTGGGAAGCATAACATTAGTTATAATATTTTCCTCCTAATTCTGTCCAAAACTTTTTAGTTCAAACACAATAGAATTTCATGAATTGCAGATTACCCCTTTGTTATTGGTTCTCGTCTTATAACTAATAAGTGGTCACTTATATATTTGAAAAGTGAACTTCTTTTGCCGTTCACGTCATCATTATATTCCACCCATCATCGTCATCATCGTCAGTATCAAACGCTGTTCTTCGACGCCATTATTTGGAAGTTCAGTATTCATCCAACATAACTAACGAAAAATATTCAGTCGCTGTCATGTCTTTTCTCCTCTGAGCCTGCGGTTGGATACAAGAGTGGTTGGCAATAAAAAAAAAACTGTCAGGTGCGATCGACTCCTATTCACGGTAGTCGATTTCACAATAGATCGTTTTTAAGGATTCCCTCATCGCTTCCGTACCATTTCTGTACTCACAGAACGGCACCTTTTTTTGAATTACAATAGCAATCTTATTTATATAAGATTATTTATAATCTTATAAGCAATGATCTTATTTATATGAGATTATTTATAATCTTATGAGCAATGATCTTATTTATAACAGATTATTTATAATCTTATAAGCAACGATCTTATTTATATGAGATTATTTATAATCTTATAAGCAATGATTTTATTTATACAAGGTTATTTACGATCTTATAAGAAATGATCTTATTTATATGAGATTATTTATAATCTTATAAGCAATGATCTTTTTTATATAAGATTATTTACAATCTTATAAGAAATGATCTTATTCATATGAGAATATTTATAATCCTATAAGCAATGATCTTATTTATATGAGATTATTTATAATCCTATAAGCAATGATCTTATTTATATGAAATTATTTATAATCTCATAAGAAATGATCTTCTTTATTTATCTATTTATTACAGTTCTGCTTTAATGTCGTTGTCACTCTTGAGGACATCAAGTTTCAGTAGATCGACTAGTTCATAACTTCACAGCGAGGACTCAACATGCTCCGCCCACGCAGTTAAACCATCCACATTTTTTACGTATACCATTTTAAGGGGGGATTTTCACCTTATTTCCGATAAATGTTATTTCATGGAACGAACTCCGAACTGCCCCCAACACTATAATCTTACGCCGGAATGTTAACTTCTTCAAATCAAGGGCCAGCCACTACCTATCCTCCTTATTCTCATAATCTTCACTTCTTTCCACCTACTCCTTCTTACGTTCATATCACTACACCTCATCTCGTAACTCCCTACCTTGAGTGGCTCTTGAGATTTGTACTGGATGAAATTTATTATTAAAAAATGTGTTTTCTAAATAGTGCGGGCGTATCGCTTGGAGAAGATTTTAAAAAAGCGTAGGTGGCGCAGACAGACGTCTCAAGATTTAGTGCTACAGATGAGAGTCTATAGAACGGCGGCTTCTTAGACTTTTATTTAAATTAGTAGATATTTTACAAGTATATGAATGTACTGAATGTTACTGGTTGAAAAAGATTTTGCATGCATCATTGAATTCAAATTGAGGCAGCAGAATATTTTAAAAAATGAACACCCTAAATCATTGTCTTAACGTGAGATCAGATGCTGGCTACTTGCGACAGAAGGAAAGTCGTAATCTTTTTAGTCAACAGGTAGGACTCAGTAGATAAACTGAGAGAGAGTGAGAGTGTGTGTGTGTGTGAGAGAGAGAGAGGGGGGGTGAAGAGAGGGAGGGGGAAGAGAGATTTAAACGGATAGATATATAATGAATAGAGTAAGATGCACAACACGATCTTCCGTTGCTGAGATTAATCATCATGTTAAGATTGAGTTGTGTATAAAACTCAGAGTCGTGCTACCAGATAATGGATAATTATTATTGTTATTATTGTTATTATTAATATATATATATATATATATATATATATATATATATATATATATATATATATATATTTATAGAGAGAGAGAGAAAGAGAGAGATACATATAGGGTGTGATTGATAAATTGTTGTCTAAATTACGCAAAGATGAAAATAACATTGGTATCTCATTTTAACAGATATATTTACCATAATTACAGAAATAAATCTTGAAATACTAAAGAGTAAATTTATTTAATAAAATCAACCACGGCCTTCAGAAAACTTTGGAATTTTCTGCAACTCGTCTATACAGTTTCCTTGTTTAAGTTGGTGAATGCTGCCATAATCCTTGACTTCAGTTCATCTTTGGTGTTACAAGGAGTTTTGTTGGTGGCTCGATCAACTGAACCCAAATGCAGAATAGATAGGTATTAATTCAGATACATTGATGTGAATGATACATGTTTATAGCCAATCTAAGCTTTCGGCTTACATAAGCCATTATCAAAGATGACACACATGTATCAATATGGTGTTTTCCTTTCGTCTTTCAACGATAATGTGATTAAGCTTATCAGACAATATGAAAGGAACTTACTTAAAATAAATAGATAAAACTTGTCTATATTATTTAATGAAACATGCATTAATGAAAAATTGCTGCCGAAATATACACAATATATATATATATATATATATATATATATATATATATATATATATATATATATATATATATATTTATATATATTTATGGAGAGAAAAAAGAGGGAGAATATACGTATATTTCTAATGAATTCGTGAATATTTATCTTTGAATCTGATATATTTTATTACTTTTTAACCGTTAATTTTAGTGGATATCTATAGCAATGTTTAAAATAAACAGTATAAAATTAAATAGTATTAAAATGCTGTTTAAAATAAACCGAGCGTCTACTCAAATATGGGTATCCACTAAAATAACGTTATATATATATATATATATATATATATATATATATATATATATATATATACACATGTATATATATATATATATATATATATATACACACATGTATATATATATATATATATATATATATATATACACACACATGTATATATATATATATATATATATATATATATATATATATACATATAAATATAGATAACTAGACTCGTTTTGAAAAACCCTCGAATTTTTGATTTGTTAATCAAATCAATTTCGAGGGAAAAAAGGTTTTAAAAAAAGAAAGCGCTACAAACATGAACTTCTGCCGACAAAAATCGCACAGATGCAGGTCTGAAGCCCAAAGAAAAACCCTGATACGAGTAACAACTAACTAACAAAAGAGCTCAATACAATCGTAGAGCAGACCTAGATACACCTAGTGAGCCAGACAAACCTAGGTAGGTTTGTCTGGCTCACTAGGTATATATATATATATATATATATATATATATATATATATATATATATATATATATATATATATATATATACACATATATATATATATATACAGATTATTATTACCACACCAGGATAGAATGATTTTTGAAAGAGGGATAATTTTTACTCATAAAAAATGATACAAAATATCGCAACGATCAAAATTTAGGCAAGTATCAGCCGACACATCTTCAGAATGTTTATATATATATATATATATATATATATATATATATATATATAGAGAGAGAGAGAGAGAGAGAGAGAGAGAGAGAGGAGAGAAAGGGAAAAGAAAGAGAGGAGGAGTGGAAGAGAGAAAGAAAGAGAAAGAGGGATACGTTTCATCGTGCGGTTATGGATCTTATACATCCAGATTACTGAATAGTAAGCCCGGTTTTCACTGGGTGCTCTATTCCCGTGGCCTTGTTCCAGACGAAGAGAAACTTAGCAAGTAGCTACAAATAAATAAGTACGGATGGATACAGGCAAATAGATTGCCATAGAAATCCTGTTTGTAGATAGAGAGAATGAAAAAAATGATATAAAGAGAGTGAGAGAGAAGGGAGGACGAATGTGAAGGAAGAGAGAGAAAACAGAAAGAGGAAGAAATGATGTGAAGAGTATATGTGAGAGAGAGAGAGGTAGGGAGAAAGGAGATACAAAGAGGGATGTGAAGAGAGAGAAAGAAAGAAAAACGAAAGAAAAAAGAAAGAAAGAAAGAAAGAAAGAAAGAAAGAAAGAAAGAAAGAAAGAGGTATGTGAAGAAAGAAAAAAGAAAGAAGAAAACTGAAAGGTGGAAAGAGAGATAAAAATATAGAAAGATATTGAAGAAAGAGAGAGAAAGACAGAAAGAGGAAAGCGGGAGGTGACAATAAATGAAAGAAAAGAAATGAATATGACAGAAAGACGTGAAGAAATAAATAAATAAATAAATAAATAAATAAATAAATAAAGAAAGAAAGAAAGAAAGAACTAAAAGAAAACAATGTGGAAAGAGGAATGGAAATCATAGATGGCCTGGTCTTTAAGTCGTCATTCTTAACACTCATTTGAATCGGCGTAGGAGGGAATGGATGTTTTTTAATGAAAGGTTACCAGAGGGTGAGACAATGCATAGCAAATGATAGAGAGGGGTAAGGTGAGGAGGAGAGAAAAAAAGAGTTATGTGTTATCATAGGGAAGGGCGTAGAATGAGGAAGAGAAGGAGGTGAAGGCGTAGATGTATTTCGAAGTGGCGATGGATAGGGTGCGGATGTGTAAAACCTTTAAACACACCTACGGAACAAATAGATAAGTGACGAACGGCACAATATTCTCATATTTCTAACCACCGCCATATTGACTACTTTTTCCTGCTTCTTCGTCCTTTTTTTTCTTCTTTTCATTATTTGAATAAAAAACAAATTTTGGGCCTTGAGTATCAAGTTCCATCACGAGCGAAAGCCATCAAATTGTGAAGATGGTCGCACGTCGCCCAATTCGTCTGTATCTCTGCTAACCTTTCACCTTTGTGATCGCGTGTGTTAGGTCAGTCCGCTAAACTGTTAAGCGTACGGGCCTGCCATATGTGTACTCGCTCATATGTGTGTCGGTATGTACTTATAACTAGATGGACGCGTGACCGAGTGGATTGAACATTCGCTTTAGGCCCATAAGAAGAGGGTTCGCTTCTTATCGCGGTCGAATTAACATTGAAGGTGATTTCTCGATGTGAGATGGTATCAGCGTGCTTGAAAAACCATACTACGCCTTGTGATGGTTGTGCAAGCAAGGGGTCACCAGTTATTGTGAACGAGAAACTGTAACTAAGATCTGCTCAGCATAGTTGCAGTATAAACTACAGCTTTTCTCTGTCCGTTATAATATTTTTTTACAAATAAATCTTACTATTGAACCCATAATTGGGGGAGGTGTCGGTTGTCATGACTCTCTACATACACTAATTCTTAATGTTTGGAATTGATATGTATTCTGATGAAAGACAGTGGGATGGCTGCTCGTTGCCTTCTTCAGGAAGGAGAATTGAAATTCTGTCTTTTAAACTGATGGCCATCTAAGGGTAGAGAGTCTAATTTACCCTGCTATGGAAGAGTATTTAACAGTTGGAAGGGAGATATGGATTCATGCCTTTCTCAAGTGCATTTATACGAAAGTGAACGCTATAAACTTTAGCGGAATTCGAACTCGTGATGCCGCCCCCCACTTCCCGCGTCGATATCTGTTATCCTATACGCACATAAAAAGCAAAATGCTAGAAGATTTTTCCTCTTCTACCTGATGTGTGCCCCTTCTGGATGTGAGCGATCATGACTCTCCACAACTTTCTGACCTTTGTAACCATTAGTAAAGTTTTTCTTTTGCTATATCTCCTAATCTTTCTTTAGTCAACCACGTAAGATCGGTTATGAGTTACTTTACTCTTTCTCTCTTGCTTCAAATATGTCCTGTGAGTGTCAAATTTTCCAAGCCCTCCTTCCTTATTATGAGCCCTAAAAATTTCAACTGCCTCTTTCTGATACCATGTATAAGTGCCCTTTTTGTTTCCATTTTCTCTAAAACTTCGCTGTTGCTCACAACAGTTCATGATATTGTTAGCATTCTTCAGTAGAACCAGATTTCTGTTGCCTCAAGTCTTTTCATCTTTGAGGAGATTGTTCAGCATTCACTGCCATATGAGAGGACTGATATTATATAACAGTTCAGTGCTCTTTTTCTTTGTTTCCAATAGGGTATTTAATCGGTAATATTCGAGGTCGAATGAAACATATATATATATATATATATATATATATATATATATATATATATATATAAATAAAAAGAAAGAACAATAGGATATATAATCCGTTGTTCTTATAGATATTTTTATTTTACAAAATAGTGCTCAAAATTCGCTTGAGGATGAAACGGAACTAATACTTTTAATTTAATTGCAAAATTAAATTCGGGGCTTTTAGCTTCTATTTTTGAAACATCGTTAGAACTGTGTAGCGGAAAAACCATATTTTAAATCAATTAATTTATAATATATATATATATATATATATATATATATATATATATATATATATATATATGGACATTGTCAACACCGAGAGGTGACAGGCTGTTTCATGCTAAACGCAATCGTCAGACCATGGTATAAAACAGACTGTTGCCTCCGGGGTGCTGAATTCCGTGTCCATTTTCATATTTACATTCATTCTAACCTTGATATTGAGTACTTTAACCTATAAATATAGCATACCTTCAAACTATATTTTGTATTTTCAGCTGACTGAAACACATTGAAATGGATAAATTCTGTGTCAACTTTTCGAATGCTGTCACAGTTATATATATATATATATATATATATATATATATATATATATATAATTGGATTTTTTCTTAATTTTTTCCTTTCCGTTTTCCTTTTCTAAATGATGTTGTCTGTGGTATTTGTGTGTTTAAATTTGAGTTAAATTTCACGTTTGAATCGTTCATCGTCTTGACTACAAGTCATCTTAATACATAAAGGCCATCTTGTTTTTGGTTATTATTTTTCTTTTCTTTTTATAGCCTGCTGCTACGATTTCATAGGCAGACCATATTCCTCTTAATATCAGTTAAACATTGGATGGCCTAAAGGTTCTGCGGGCCGCAGGTTGACGATTCAAATATAAGTTATCAGGTTGTCCATTCCTTGTTATAACTTAACTGTTTGTCGTTTTGTAAAGTTCTTTCAAAGATAAGTGTCTGCCATTTTTAACTCTTTTTTGAACTTCTAATGGACATCTCGACTTTAACTAAGTTAAAACTTAGTACAACTTTTTTCTTAATACGAGTAGATAGGCTTCTCTATCGCCCGGTCCATACCTCACGCCTTCTCTTGAACAGGAGTTGAGGCTCATTCCTTGTTTCCTGTTTAGGAAGGGGTTCCGGTTCCTTTCTCTCAGGCCTTAATAGTAGTGCTGTCATGATTTTTTTTTGTTATGTGTGGATGGTGGCAATGTTTCTTCATTCTAAGGATACCGGGTTGGCAGTTTTCTGGTTCCTGCTCTCGACTGGTCTTTAGGAACCCGAACACTTGCGTAGCATCTTGAGAGGCTGCTCTGATCAACAGTCGCATAATATCGGGGTTCTTGTAGAGCCATGTCGCGCATGGACGGGTGTTCCTGCAAGGACCTCCAGTGGGCAACCCTGAGGTAAAACTATGTTGCAGTCTGCACCAACCCCTTTCCTGCATATGTTCCACTTGACACCCGACTACCCTAGGCCTTTCCTCACCAAAATAACACATCATGACAATAAACAACCCCCCCCAAAAAAAAACCAGATATATAAGCCTAAACCATCTACTATTCATTTCGATGTCTTGACAAGAACCAAAGAAGGATCTGCAATGTCATCAACACAGACTTGGCATCTCGACTTCAAACATTTTCTCAACAACGTGGCTTCCTTCTGTCTTTTCTACGAATATTTTTATGGTAACTGCTACCGCGAGCTTTTTTTATTGGTGCCCGGACTACGTGAGTTTAAGCATGCTACTAGATTGGCATTTAGGTCCTACTCTTTTACTGTTAATTAGAAAAATATAACCGACACTTCTATTCCAACAGTTTTTTTTCTCGTACTTACCAACTGTGGAACTTCCTTCCGTTTTATTGCTACCCTGATAACTACAATCTTCAAAAAATTAAATGCAATGTCAATCGCCATTTTCTATTTTTGTTTTTCATCATTTCGGCGGTCCCCATTATACCAATTCTTTTCTCACAAATTTCCTATACTTGTATTTTGATTGGTCATTCTAGCTTTTGTAACGTTTTCCCCTTGCGAAGGATCGTTAATTAATTTGAAATTTTTAAAACCATTTATTTTACATTCGACATCATCACTTGATAAGACACCAAGGGTGTTGAAACAAAATGGCTATTTTTGTAGTGATTTTATAACATATTTATGTTAATAATTTAAAAAAAAAATTATATCTGCTCTACTTTGTATTGAGCACTCCTTTAAGAATAGTAATTGTTGGTTATTGGAATTATTCCGTATACACTAATTATATATATATATATATATATATATATATATATATATATATATATATATATATATATATATATGTATATATATATATATATATGTGTGTGTGTATCTTATATAACGATGTATAATTTTATATATCAAGAAACAATATTGAGAAAATAGCATGACAAATTGTAAAAAATTCCCATTTTATATATATATATATATATATATATATATATATATATATATATATTCACCTATACATACCAACTCCTCCGTTGATTTACAATTATTTACATTGTTCGTCTCCTCCCTTGCTTGAAGACTGCTTAACAACATGAAATCGTGAAAAATAGGTGTGCAGGCATAAAACGTTATGATTATTATCTCATTTTATGCTGTATTGTGAGTTTTTACACATTTTACGTTGGATCCTATATATCTTTTATATAGTTGGCATCTTTGACACATAGTTGATACATACACACAGGTATATATATATATATATATATATATATATATATATATATATATATATATATATATATATAATATCCGCTCTACGCATTCAAGTTTAAGAATTGTGTATTGAGCACTTTCTTAACATTCCGTCTTCTGGTCTGACTCCTCGTTGGACAAATACTTTTATATCCTATACGCACACACACACACACACACACACACACACACACACACACACACACACACACACACACACACACACACACACACACACACACACACATATATATATATATATATATATATATATATATATATATATATTTATTGATGGCTATGTAGCCAAGGCGAACCTTTAATTTGTATGGTCATTAGGACGTAATTTTGCCTAGAGAGGGATGGGTTCCTTCAGGTCTACTTGCCAAAAACAGGCGACGCCTGAATGAATAACACATCGGCATTCAGCCCAGATATGTGGGGCGAACTGGTTTGATGTTTACAGCGAGTCATGGGGCCGATGATGATGGAAAAAAAAAAAAGAAAAAAATGTTCGAAAAGGTTATAGAAAAAGCAATAAAAAAAAATGACAATTCTCAAGTAAATTTAATTTTTAAATCTAAAAAATATTTTTAAGGAGTTTGATTTAAAATGCGAGTATAATGCTAAACTGGACCCTTTGTAACCATCCCGGTAA